TCTTCTACATCAACCAAAGCGGAGGATTAAATGGGGAGATGGTAGAACCCATGACCCATGCATCTCTCAAGTCCAAAGGTAGCCTTCTCTGTAATTCCCACAGCTTATGGGGCTGCTTTTGAATGATGACTTTCACAGGGACCTGGAGCTGCCACAGTGAAAGCCTAAAATCTACAGGATATTCACGCCTACTATGTTCCTGTAGAATGGAAAACTAACCACTGGATGCTTGAAAGGTATAAGTAGACTTGTAAAGCAATTTAAGAACCAAACTTTGTTTGTTCACTGAGCAGGAGATTATGGGAGAATTATGAACCCCAGGACTGGAAGGGAGCTCACAGATACTTTCCAGTGATGCCTGAAGATCTGAATACATCCCTTCCCCTACGTTACAGTTATCTGGCTAAGTCTCTGTTTGAGGAAGAAAGGAAAATGTTTCATCAGGTGTATTTGTAGGATTTTAGTGCCATCGTAGCCCATGGGTAAGTAGCTTCCCCTTCCTTCAGATGGCTCTGATTTACTCAAATTCCCCTAATTCATGTATGGAGTTGGACTGCACTTCTCCCAAAAGTAGATCTTCGGCCACTTTCACGCTTATGTGTACCAGATCTGGAGACGTGCTTGGTAAGCTATCAAGTGAAATCTTAATGGATTGCCCAACAATTTTATTCCTAGAAAACAAGTCATGAATTACCCACACTTAAGCATTATTGTTGGCCAGATCACCCGTTCATTGAATTTAGCAACATTTAATCTGCCCTTAATATATGCCAGGCACTTTTCTAAGTGCTTTGTGATGCATTAAGGAGAAAAACAGACCCAAATAAGTCCTGGCATAACAAATTATATAGGTAAATATAAGATAAAAAATAAAAACAGTGTAAGGGGGACTCAAAATTGAAGTCACATTGTAACTTTAAATCATGCTTTTAACACGCTGGCTCTGCTGCTTCTTCAGTTAAATTCTTTGCCTCTGATGGTGCCTTCAGGGCTGCCCCAGGCCTCTGTCATCTTATAATTCACTCAAGGTAATAAAAAACAAGGAATTAAGGTTAGTTGTTGTGTCGTTTCCAAGAATTCCCTACCTACAGTCACTTGCCAGGTTTAGCACACTTTATCATTGATAAGGCACTTCACTAAAGTGGCTTCATGGTCCAAGTGAACTAGCCAGTGTCTTAATTAAATTTACCAGAAAAGTCATGTGTAAAATATTGTTAGGTTTACTAAGCTAAGCTCTTCAATTAAACTAGGCCCTTTACTGCCCACAGAAGAGAAGATGAACCAAGAATAAGTGTTTTATTATGACAACCTTTGCACTGGGGTAATAGAAACTGCTCTCCAAATATAGCAGGTTTGAATGCTCTCAACCATGACCACATTGACAATATCGTATCTTTGAGGTATGTATCCATCAGGAAGCTTCAGAGAATCCAAAGTGAAAAGGATACTATCATCTATCACCCCATTTCTTCTATGTAGACTAGTAATGCAGACCTGTAATTATAAATGGTGGAAATGATGATGTAAAAGCATAGTATACTTTAACTGGCCCTGAACCTCCTCACTCTGGCTCTAATCTTCAAGTCACTCCATCTCCATCAATGATTCCCAAGATGTTTGGCACACTGGCAACACCAGGGGTACTTTGTAAAAATAACTATACCCAGATCGCATTTTAAGCCAATTAAATCAGAATCTCTGGGAATGGGGCCTAGGTCTCTGTTGAGAAGCTCTGCTCTGAATACTACACACAATGTCCATAAAGCTCTATAGTTAAGGTTGAGACAGTGAAAGGGGTTGAATGAGAAAGGAATATGGCAGTAAGTAGACTATCATTTTTTCCCTGCTTCCTCTGTCACATTCCAAGCTCACTATTTCATCTGTACCTTTGTTCAAAATGAATTTCTTTCTCATTTTCAGGCTTCACTACCGAAATCATACCCAGCATTTACTGGAAAGCTCAAACCCCACAACCCACTCCATTCATTCTTTCCCAACAATTTTCTGGCATACAGAGTTTTCTAGATTACAGTTTTTCTTCCTATTGTTCTCAGAACATCCTAATAACATTAAAATACCAAATATACTATATAACTTAGAACTTACTTATGTACATGGTCTACATGATTTTCTAATTATTTTCTTTTTGGAGTCCTGCCATTTCAATAAGAAAACAGGCTACTTTTGGTAAAAAACAAATATGTTTTCTTATATTTTCTAGATTTCCCAGCACACCCAACAGACTTCTGAGCATAAAAATTATCACTAAAGGAAGGTTTCAAAGAAACTAATGACAAGTGCAACATGGAAACAAATCACCTCATCCACATGCTTACAGCTCATGGGCTCCACTGAGCATGGCTTGATGATTCAGGTGCCTGGCTGCATGTAATACTCAACTTCTAATCAGTCCCCCTTTTAAGGCACAAAACCTAAAGCAGCCATGAGAAATTTGAGTGTCATTATATATTAATTGAAGTTATGTTAAATGTCACACATTACTCTGGGACATTGTAATACCCTAAAATAGCTTTTAGTAGATCCAAGGTACATTTTGCACATGTTTAAACAGACACCTTGTAAATCTGTCAGAAAAGAAGTTGATAATCCTTTAGACATTGATTCTCCTTTACTGATTAACAAAGTTAAATGGAGAAAAAGTGTGAACTTTTCATCACAGCCAATCTAAGGGAGAAACACAGGAGTTATTAAACAATTGGTTATGTTCACAAGTCCTTAGTGAGAGGCAGTCAAGTACATAGGTAAGAGCAAAAGTCTGAACTTGGCTACCTGTGTTAAAGTCTTGACACTGCCACTTACTCAGTTTGCAAATAGTCAAGGCACTTAATCTCTCTGTTCCTCAGTTTCTTCATCTATAAAATGAGAAGCAGAATAATAGTCCTCATGACATAGAAGTATTGTGATAATTAATTGGTATATTTAGAGCTCATAGAATAATGCCTGGCACTAGTAACCACCTAATAAATGTTGAATGGTATTAGTGGTAGAAAAATTACGTGAAATCATAGTACACTGTAACTCGCTGTGCACCTCTTCACTCTGGCTGTAAGCTAATACTAGGAAATATTGCCACTGCAAGAATAAATCAATTCCCTAGGTGTTTTGTTCAGTTGATAAACTCTTTTTTTTTTCTTTTGAGATGGAATTTCACTCTTGTTGCCCAGGCTGGAGTGCAATGGTGCAATCTCAGCTCATGGCAATCTCTGCCTCCTGGGTTCAAGCGATTCTCTTGCCTCAGTTTACCAAGTACCCAGGATTACAGGCGCCTGCCACAACACCCGTCTAATTTTTTGTATATATATATTTTTTTAGTAGAGACGGGGTTTCACCATGTTGACCAGGCTGGTCTCGAACTCCTGACCTCAGGCGATCCACCCACCTCAGCCTCCTAAAGTGCTGGGATTATAGGCATGAGCCACTGCGCCTGCCCTGAACTCTTAAATATGTATATTACACTACATTTATAAACAAGTAGTTTCAAATGGAATTTTACAATAAGTTAAAACTGAGTTGCAGGATATAAACACCAAAGATCTGGAGGAACTAGAAATCTTAAACACTGCAGGTGGGAGCGGAAATGTTCACACCATTTTGGAAAACTGGCAACATCCACAATGTTAAACATTTCCTTACCTTACTACCAAGCATTATAAATGACACAAGACACGTGTCTTGGACCATTTCTCTTTTTCTCTTTTAATATACATACATTTTTAATATAATATCTTAGGGATAACTTCAAAATGTGTATACCCCTGGCACTAACTAACCTCAGAATCAATTACCCACATGTCTACACAAATTTAACACGACTAAAGCTGAGTTCTTGCTATTCTTCTTATGCACCCAATTTGTCTCCTCTCAGTTTTCCACATCTCAAATTGGCACTTCCATCCTTACCACTTCTCACACCAAGAACTTTGCAGTTACTGGCAGGAATGAGTGACATCAGCAAGACAGCAGAGTAGGAGATCCCAGCCTTTTTTTCCTCCAAAAAAGAACAACAACTGGACAGCCATTCATGAACAAAAATAGCTCCAAAAGAGCACAAGAGTCCACTTAAGAAGCTCTAGCAGCACAGTTGAAGAAAAAAAAACTGAGAATAGTTGCATAAAAAAGGTAGGATGTGCTGGGCGCGGTGGCTCATGCCTATAATCCCAGCACTTTGGGAGGCCAAGGCAGGCGGATCAAGGGGTCAGGAGTTCAAGACCGGTTACCTGGCCAACATGGTGAAACCTCATCTCTACTAACCATACAAAAATTAGCCAGGTATGGTGACACATGCTTGTAACCCCAGCTACTTGGGAGGCTGAGGCAGGAGAATCCCTTTAACCCAGAAGGCGGAGGTTGCAGTGAGCCGAGATCACGCCATTGCACTTGAGCCTGGGTGACAGAGTGAGTCTCTGTCTCAAAAGAAAAGGTAGGGAGGACAGTGACAGTTTCATTTTACCTGCATCATCCCATCCCTCAGCTGACAGAGAGAGAATATTCCCAAGCTCGTGAGCTCCTCTTACAGGGCAGGATGAGCATTTGGCTTTCTCAGCCCTCATGACACTCTGTGGGACTGATCTGCTTCAGTTTCACCCCACTCTGAATGTTGGGGAAACCGGCAGTTTAGATGCCTGGAGATGGTTAGGAACAAACAAAATGGGTAGGGGTTATCAGTGTCTAGATGTTGGAGGAGCCACTGTGGTGCCCAGTAGTCTGCTTTGCACAGGACTCCAGCGGCCTTCTTTAATGAAGACCTTAACAGCCCTTGAAGCCTTTTGCTGCTGAGGAAACTCAGCACTGCTGCCCTGGACAACGATTGCCTCGAGGGCTGTGAAGTTTTTTACCTTCGCAGTCCCCAGCTGCCAGAGTCACCTCCCTTCTTCTCCCCCTACTCCTGGAACATCCCCAGCTGCTGCTGCTGTGGGCACTCCAGCCCAGTGACCCCACACATCCACCTTGCATGTGTGCACAATCAGCCTGGGCCTGTGCTACTGCATGTGTGTCTGACTGACTCTGTAGTTGTATGTGTTCATGCACAGCTGGCCCTGACTCCAGTTGCCAACCCCTACCATCACATTCATGTCTGCAGCTGGTTCCTGCAACACGTGTACAACACCAAAAGCTCTCGTGGTCCCTGCAGCTGTGCATGTGCACACAGCTGACCAACCCTTGTTGCCAGGCTGCACAGTCCTACACATGCCTGTAGCTGACCCATGGAATTGTGCGTGTACTGGCCACCTTTTGTGGTCTCCATTGCTGTGCATACACAAGAAACCAGCCTTGACTCCTGACTCCTGTCTCCAGCCCTTACTGTCATGCTCACATCCACAGATAACCCCTGCAGCAGTGTACATGAATGCTGCCAGCTCTGGTTCTGTGCAGCTGTGCATGTGTACACGTCAACCCAACCTCCATCACTGGCCACCCATCATACTTATGCCCGCAGATGGCTCCTGCAGCTGCACACATGCTCTCCAACAGCACTGGCCTGCAGCTATGCATGCACTTGCAGCTGGCTCCACCAGCTGGTGCCTGCCCTCACTACCATGCTTACACATGCAACAAGTCCCTGCAACCATGCACAGGCATGCCACCAGACCCAAATCCTGTACCTGTGCACATGCAAGCCACCAGCCCTCACCACCACATGAGTACCTGCAGTCAGACTCTGCTGCCATGCATGTGCCTGCAGCAGAGCATGTGTACACCATCAGTCCTGGACCTCACCACCTCCTACCCTAGTCTCTTGCCACTGAACGCAAAGCTCCACTGAGAACCCAAACAGCCTTTACAACCACCAAGGACCATGCAGTTACCAAAGTTGTAGACCCTAGCTTCCCAAGCCAATGAGACCCTGTATCCTCTTCTGAACCACAAGCAACTAAGCAAAAATAAACATCAAACTACAAATTTCTACACAGCAAAAGAATCAAACAGTAAAGTTAGAAGGCAACCTATGGAACGGGACAAAGTACTTATAAACCATATATTTGATATGGGGTTAATATCCAAAATTCATAAGGAATTGAAATAACTCAATAGCAATAAAATAGTAATAACTCAATAAAAATGAACAAAAGACTTGAATTTCTCACAAAAAGACATACAAATATCCAACAGGTATATGAAAAGATGCTCAACATCACTAATCATCAAGGAAATACAAATCAAAACTACAATGAGATGTCACCCCACACCAGTTAGAAAGGATATTTTTTTGAATGTCAAAAGATAACTAGTGTTGGCAAAGATGGGGAGAGAACAAAACACTTTTCCATCGTTGGTGGGAAAGTAAACTGGCACAGCCATTATGGAAAATTCTATGGAGGGTCCTCCAATAAATTAAAAATAGAATTACCATATAATCCAGCAATCCTACTTCTGGGTATATACCCAAAGGCAATGAAATCAGTATGCCGAAAAGATATCTGCGTGACTATGATCTTGCATATTTTTCATTGTGTTTAGCGCAATATCATAAACCTTGAATAACACAATGGGATCCATACGAAGTGTGACTAGTGATTCTGGAAGTGCTCCCAACAAGCAGAAAAGCCATGATATTACAAGAAAAAAATATAATTGCTTGATCTGTACAGTAGACTGAGGTCTGCAGCTGTAGTTGCCCACCATTTCAAACAGATGATTCCTCTCATAAACAGAAAATATAAATTCACAGTATTTTGAGAAATATAGTACAATGCTGTAAGTGTATTTTCTCTTCATTATGATTTTCTTAATAACACTGCCTTTTCACTAGCTTACTTTATTGTAAGTATACAGTTTATAATACACATACAAAATATGTTATTCAATTATTTGTGTTATTGGTAAAGCTTCTGGTCAACAGTAGGCTATTAGTAATTAAGATTTGGGGGCATCAAGTTATATCCAGATTTTCAACCATGCAGGAGGCCAGCATCCCTAACCCCTGTGTTGCTGTGCAATGGTCAATTGTATAGCTCTGGGTTATATAGCTTATATATATGTTACACCTTATAGCATATCTGCTAACTACAAATAGAATTCAACAATGGACACACACATACACAAAGAAGAGTACAAGGCTAACTCCAGAAATCTAACTTTGAAGCGTTTGAAGTACTTTAAAAGTAGTAATCCTACACAATTGTAGTATTTTTTAGTTTATTCAAAATTAAATACTTATATAAATGAAAAAATGCCCAAATGAAAGAGTACTGACTGCATTCAAAAAATGAATGCATGATATGTGATAGCATGAGTTTTTAGACATATGACCTATTCATACCTATATTGTCCACTATTTTCAATTCAAAAGGTCCACCATTGAAGAGCCACTGACTGGAGCCAAGTACATTCTAGAAGTAGTTCTAGTACCAGAATCCTCTCAAGAAAAGAGCATTACGTGCTTTTAGAAATATAAATCATACCTGGATAGGGATCCAAGATGGCCAAATAGGAAGAGCTCTGGAGTGCAGTTCCCAGCAAGAACAATGCAGAGGGTGAGTGATCACCACATTTCCAAACGAGTTATTACTGCCCACAGACTAGGAGATTCTCAGATTGAAAAGCGCCACGAGTTTCCAGCATGACTGTTTCAGCTGGCACAGTGCGTCTCTGCACAAAAAGCTCACACAAATCTGGGCAGCTGTTTCAACTGGCAATGCCTGGGAGACAGAGCTGCCCATTCAACTGAAAAGAAGGGGGCTGAAACATGAAACAGGGAGCCAGGAAATCTGGCTCAGTGGGTCACATCCCCACAAAGACTAGCAATCTGAAATGCTCTGGATTGAGAGTTTTGCAGCAAGTGCAGCTGGACCCAGGATGGCCCAGCTCTGTTGGGGGAAGGGCATCCGCCATTACTGAGGCAGTCCACCACTACCGAGGCAGTCCACAATTACCGAGGCAGTCCACCATTACTGAGGCAGTCACCATTACCGAGGCAGTCTGCCATTACTAAGGCAGACCACCATTACTGAGGCAGTTCTAATTATGCCTCTATAAACAAAACTGCAAGGAAGTTCACACAGCAGTTGAGCAGAGCCCACAACAGCTCAGCAATGCCTCTGCTGGCAGACTGTAACTAGGCTACCTCATTACTGGGCAGGGCAGTTCAGAAAAAAGGCAGCAGCATGTCAGGAACTTATAAATAAAGCCCCAAATTCCCAGGACAGAGCACCTGGGAAAAAAGGCGATTATGAGTTCGGCTGCAACAGACAAAAACGTGCCTGCCCAGCAGCTCTGAAGAGAAGAGCTCAGCACTTGAGCTCCTATAAGGGACAGACTGTCTCCTCTAGCAGCTCCCTGACCCCTGTATATATCCAAAGAATCACCTCATAAAGAAGAGCTCAGGCTGACACCTGGCAGGTATCCTTTTGGGATGAAGATAAACAGAAGAAGAAACTGGCAGCAACCCTTACTGTCCTGTAGCCACCACAGGTGATCCCCAAGCAAGCAGGATCAGGAGTCCTACAGCAGAGAGGACTGACTATTAGAAGGAAAAAAAAAAAAAAAAAAAAAATTTAAAAAAAAAATAACTTAATCATCAACAAAAATAACATCCACTCAGAGACCCAATCTGAAAATCACCAACTGCAAAGACCACAGGTAGCTAAAGCCACAAACATAGAAAGAAACCAGCACAAAAATGATGAAAACACCCAAAGCCAGAATGCCTCTCCTCCTCCAAGGGATCACAACTGATCGCCAGCAAAGGAACCAAGCTGGATGGAGAAAAAGTCTGATTAATTGACAGAAACAGGCTTCACAAAGTGGGTAATAACAAACTTCTCTGAGCTAAAAGAACATGTTCTAACCCAATGCAAAGAAACTAAAAACCTTTAAAAAAGGTTTGACAAAATGCTAATGAGAATAAACAGCTTAGAGAAGAATATAAATGTATTGACGGAGCTGAAAAACACAACACGAGAACTTCGTGAACCATACACAAGTTTCAATAGCCGAATTGACCAAGC